AATATAGGGTTAATTAGTGCCGCCTAGATACTACCTAGATAGGTAATTGCGCTTGCCTTACTACTATAATCTTAATTAATAGGATAGGACTTAATTAGAGCTTTTCTTATCTCTTTAAATTTTTAATTCCTATTAATCTTTTTCTTAATCTCTAATTATTAAGTAGTAGTAAGCTTGTTACCTATATTAGTCTAAGCTTTAATAACGTTTTTATATTTAGGAGGTTTCTATAGTTAGGATCTACTATATAGGTATAAAGACTCCTTCTTAGGTTAATTAGAAGGTAGAGCTTGTATTATTGCAAACACTCTAGGACCCTTAGAGCTTAATCTTATGTTGTTCTCTTAGAGAAGTAATAAATAGATCTTAGTAACCTGTAGGAGGTTATAAGTTAGCTCTCCTATTACTAACTTTTTAATAATCCTTTAAAATATAGTTTAACCCTAATCTAGTAAGATCCTAGTAGATAGAGCTTTAAGATAATCCTATACTACAAGCTATCCTTTAATATTAGGAACGTTGTATACCTTAGCTTGCGTATATAGGATTGTCTACTCCTTCTACTAGTAATTAGTGTCTTAGCTACTTATCTTTGCCTTAGTAAGATAAGCTTTATACTATAATCTTGCTAGTGTTATAGCGCTTAAATTAGTTAGCGCTAGGTTATTGCAGAGTACTTAGATAAGTGCTTAGAGGGTTACTCTTCCTTAATTAACAAGCTCTATATAGGCTAGGGTAAGGATCCCTTAATCTACTATATTGTTAACCTATATAAAAAGGTTCTAGATTGCTAATAACTTTAATACCTAATCTAATAAGTAGGCTTAGTACTAAGCTATTTAGAGTTTGTACTGCTCACTTGTTATATTAGATAGCGCGATACCTGTTAGTATATTAGGCTTAATAGGTTTATTCTTAAAGTAGTTTTTAGTATCCTAAGTATTAGGGTCTACCTCTACCTAGATCCCTTTAGTTAGGGTATAGTATCTAAATTAAATATACTAGGTAGGCTAGTTAGTTAATCTAGTAAGTAGGATATCCCCCTTTAGGATTTAGTTGCTTATAGTAGAAGAGTAATAAGTAAGCTTCTGCTTAAGAAATAGTATAAAAAAAAGTAAAGCTTGCTAGCTTAGTGTCTAAGTTAAACTATACGCTTAAATAGATAGGACAATCTTTAATAAGGTAAAGCGCGAACTAGGCTTATAACTATAGAAATCTAGATTACTAAGGTTAGGAATAATTTAGGAGATAGATTATTAGATTGTATCTACTACAATTAGACTTATATATATAGAGCTTTAGCTACCCTTACTAGAAGGTGAATAATTAGTAAACCTTCCTTACTAGAGCTCCTGCTTTTTGTTAGGCACAGCAGTAAGCTGGCAGTTAATTAGATAGTGGGTCATACAGGGGTATTGATTAGGATTAAGTGGATCAAGATGCTCCGTGATCTGGTTAATATCCCTCCTGCAATATATAGTTTATAATATATAATATAAAGATAAACTAACTAAGTAAAAGGTTTAACTAGCTATATATAAAGTATAAAGTAGTAGAAGTCCCTACTCTACTAATAGTAGTGTTAGACTTACTAGGGAACTTGTATAAGACTATAAATATATATCTACTAGAGAGAGCTACTAATAATCTACTACTAAGCTAGAAGCTTTAGGACTTATAACTAGGCCTAATAGGTACTCTAGAAAACAAAGATATAACGCTAGATAAATAGGAAGTAGAAGAGATCCTTTGCGTAAAGAATACATAAGGAAAAGGAAAGTGTTAAGTCCTACTAAAATAAAAGGGGTATATTAATCTAATATAGCACCTACTAGAGGTAGTATAGGATATAGAGGCTTAAGATAGGTTTAAGGAATAGTATAGGGATACTACGCATAATAATAGCCTAATATATATAAAAGCTAGGAAGTAAGGGTACAATAAAACTAGAATAATAATTTAGAACTTTATTATAATTAAGAAGTAAAAGGCTACTAGAGATAGCTTTTATTTATCCTAATAACACTCTAAGCAAATGCCCTGCTACTAAAGTTTTATAACATAGCTAATAATTAGGTAGCAGTGTCTATATTATTACTATTTATAACTAACCCCCTACTAGCTCCCCCTAGACTATTATCTATATTATTCTAACGCCTCTATATTTCCTAGTAATAGTAGTAACGCTCGCGTGTAACATAGGTAGGGGAAGACTTAAGTTAATAAGTATAAATAGTAGTAGTAGTAGTAGGATAAAGGTAGTGCTGTAATAGTCTACTAATATGTAGCACCCTAGGCCTAAAGAAAAGAAATATTAGAATAAATATAAGGGAACAAGGGAAAATTAATACTAATAATAAGATTCTTAATACTATAGGTAGTGCGCTTAGTAGCGCTTTTAAGCTTATTAATATACTAGTTAGTTTAGGCCTAAGTCTTATTTATACGCTAGTTAATACGCTAGAAGGTAATACTAGTAGTAGCAGCTAGCTATATAATATTATTATTACTATAACTAGTATATAAAGGCGTAAGAGCAGACTAAAGTAGAAATAGTAGAGTGCTAGTAGTAGATAGAATAATAGCACTAATCTAATACTAATTATAAGCGCCTACGTAGGTAGTAGGGGTAACTAGAGTAATAGTATTATTAGTTTAAGTCCTTAATATAAGATCCTTAAAATAATAGTAGAGCTAGTAAAACTATAGTATAAACTAGTAGTAAGTGCCTTTAGTAGATTTTCCTATAAAAGTTCTAAGGGTCCCCTTCTTTATAATATAGAGGTAATCCTCCTAGTAACTATAATAAAACTAAAGCTAGTTACAGAGGGCTTAGCAAATATTAGTATTATTAGCAAGGATAGCTTCTAATTAAGTATAGGTCTTATAGCTATAATAGTAGGACTTGCACACGCGCCCTAGATATAGTTAGAACTTGCTATAAAGAATATAAAAATTAAGGGGAACCTACTACTACCCTCCTAATAGTTATACTTACTAAAAAGATAAAGCTAGTTAATATACTAATTATAGGGAAGTAGCTTTATAAAGCTACTATTATATTTCTTATTATTTAAGTTACTAAAAATAATAAAGCTACTAAGTAACTAAGTTTAGGGAGAAGTATACTAAGTAAGAAGTTAGTATAGAAAATATTAGGGGAATATTAGAAGTACACACCTTATCTTAGTAGGCCTAGCGTAGGGTCTAACTACCTTATAGTAGTTCCCTACTACTAGTACTAGTAGTAGTAGATAAGGATATAATACAGGCTATATAGGCTAGATTAATAGAAAAAGAGTAGAAAGAAGACTAATTAGTAGGGAAGATCTACTATATAATAAAGTAAGTTTAGGAAATTTAGACTAGGGTAGGATAGCTATATTAGAACTTTTAGAGTAGGGTGCTAAAATAAGTATATAGATACTATACCTACATACTACTTAATATATAGGCCTATTATAAATTAGGAAGAAATATAAAGATATAATATTAAAACCTAAATATATAGGAATAAAGCCTAATAAAGATTATAGAGGATAAAGATATAACCCTAGACCCCTAAAATAATAATTTTAGAATAGCTTATAGGGAAGGTTAGGGGTATATAAAGGGCTTAGGCTTATACCTAAGCCTAGGCCTAATATAAGATAGATAGAGTCTAACACTACTACTAAGCGAACACGCTACACACCTATAAAAAGGCGTAGAGGGCTTACCTCTCCTTTAAGATACTAAATACTATTATTAACGCTTATTGTATTCTCCCTTAAGGCCAGTCTATAATAGTTATACAGGGGTATAAATTAGGGATATTAATTAGGACTTAGATCAATTAATCGGATCAAGATGCTCCGTGATGTAGTTATTATCCCTCCTGCAACAGTTTCCTTTTATATATAGCTTGTTCCTTTCTTTATTCTTATCCTTCATTGCATGGTACATTAACATTAAGCCTTAACTACTTGTTATTTCTACTAATTTTCTCTCCTTACTTTCTTCCTTACCCTACCTTTCTTGCCTTAATTTTATAATTTTATTTAGGACAAGTTTATAAATAATAAAATACAACAATTTGCTTAGGGACTGTAATACAGGGCTAGAGCTGGTTTCTATCCCCTGTAATCACTATAGTGTAGGGAGACGTTGTGAACCACCGCAAACTGCGTTAATATTAAACAAGTAACTTTAGGAGTTTTACTAACACATTAATGGTCTAAGTTAAGAAGACCCCAACGAAGAAAGCAATACCTAAAGCAAATCCACTACCTAAGGACTAACCGAAGATATCATCTGCAAAGAAAAGAAAAGCTCCGGAGCAAGTGCCCGACAGGAATGTCCGCCGCCGACAGTCCCCGCTTAGAACTGGATTAGACCCTATCCCTTTTGTCATCTACAAGCTACTTCTCTTCTGATTATATCTCAGCACCTCCAAAATTGCCTCCTACATCCAAGTAGTCTCTAGTCAGCTCCAAGCAATGGTAGAAGACCTTTGACGATCTCACCAGCCTATAGAAATTGTAGCTGCATTGTCAGTTTGAACTTTGGATAACAGCAGATACTAGATTTTAATATAGGACGCCCGTACGGGATAACATTTTAAAAGTTGCAACTCGGTGGACCTGCCCAACCGCAATAACTATGAAACCGACGTCAATACTTCAAGCGCATATTAAGACTAGGACTAGGTGGAGGGAAATTTACAAGTTGTCAATACGATAATTTTGCTTTATATTTTGCTGTAAGTTTTGCTATTATTTGGCTTGAAGTCTTGATATTGTTATAATATAAGTTTTGTTATAGTTTAATATGTGTCTTCCTATGTGCTGTTGAGATATTACAAACGTTAGAATGTACAAGACAGTGCATTTAAATAATACTTGTAAGTTATCTGCCTGGCCATCAAACTTAGAATAGGTACTTGAAGAAGAGAAAGAAACTCCTCATAACGAAATGAACCTAGCTACTGTGTCTCAAACCTCACCCTCCGCAATCTATACTTATTCATTGTTGGACGCACAAATAGCAACGATAATCCTATCAAGATGGCCACGCAGATCAAGTAGCATCTCAGCAATGCTCTCCTTTTGTGCCCCTTGAACACACGCCTGGCTTGTGTTCAGACCGGGGCTTTTTGCTCCAGACGGGCACGCGATACTCGATGCCGACGGCAAGCACAGTGATGGCGGTAGGGAGTCAGAAGACACCGATGAGGGGGGAGTACTTGAAGTTCTGCCATCATCGTCACCACTACCACCACGTGTACCACTACCATGCAAAAGTCGCGGCACCACCATGGCGTGTGATGGTCGTGATGCGGAGTTACCAGCAAGAGTCGCTGACTCGGGAACACAGCCCTAGAGACGTCGTGCAAGCCGAAAGTCGCTAGATTAATACCATGTCTAGTCCGAGGGCGCTGTGGAGGTGTATTTGCGCTCGTCCAAGTCTAGCGATGGTGTTCGTTGGGTGCTTGTCCACCTGGGAAATAGGCTTGTCGTGCTTGATGCAGATCGAGGAGGGTCATGGCTGGGCGCACGTCGTCTTCAATCAGCAGTGCATCTGTATTAAATGGCGATGGGAGAAGCGTTAGTGAGGATGCGAGGGGCGCAAATTCTTGAGATAGAGGGATATGCGGTGACGGTTGAGCTGAAACGACCTAGCGCAAAGGCGACATTGGGAAGATTTCGTTAATTTCCATGTTGGTGTCGTTAACTTTGATGTTGGTGTCATCATGTCCATGACCTTCCTGGTCAAAGACGTCTTCCTGCTCACGGTCATCTTGAACAGAGAGGGGTGAGTCCAAGAAGGGATCCATTAGGTTAGTGGTAGAAAAGAAGTCAAAGCTAGACAACGGCGACGTACGAGATGGCTCTCGATTGCGTGCGTTATGGTCCAAGTTTTTAGAGCAGAAGCGCAAATCCGATCGAGGAGTTGCTGGTGGGCATGGCGTTTCCGCACCAAGGCGGCGAATGTCTATGGGTTGCGTGCAGATGTCGCTCGCCAGGTTTTTGACTGGATAGAGGTATGAAAGCTCAACCATGGCCGACGCTTTTATTTCTTTCCCTCACTACCTACGACAAGTGCTTTGTGAAGTCATTCACCTGTGAGGTTGTTTGGATCGCACGACCCCATCACAACCCAGTAATCAAGGCAGTTTGACATGCACTGACGACGCCATGCTCGCCAAATGTGATACATGTCTCAATGGTAAGAAGGAAATAAGAGGGCCGTCAAGTGAGGGAGTCATGGTGAGTGATTCTCTACCACCCCAACACCGCATTCTACTAGGCGAACATGGCTATAGGCGAACGACAACGTTGCTTTTCTTCTCGTCTCATCATCGCACGATGAGGCCCAAGTGAGGGCAGTGCACATGGCTGTGGCTTGAACTGTCTTTCAAGGAAGCAGATCAAAAGGGGCCTTGTTGCCTTGAGGTGAGACTGCGCAGATAAGGCGAGTTACTCACTTTTTGCTATAACTGCTAACTTGTTCATAGGAAGCGTTTGATTTTGTCCCACTTCCCGAAGAGTAGAATTAGGCTCTAATTGCCATGATGGATCCTGCTCTTGCACGACACATGGGTGGGGAAATTGCGCCCAACCAAAAGCGTCTCTAACCTAGTTCCATCACAGTTGTTGCCTTGACACCTACCATCACTATCTTGCGGAATTAATACGTGGAAGATTTTGAAAATGATAGTCTGGACTGTGGCCACTTACCTAAACCGTGTGAACCCATGTTTGCAGGTTCTGCCCGCGTCGATTGCACGGGATGACGGGAGGTGTTTCGGGAGAGTTGCTGTGGGAATAACGCAGACTGTACTGTAAGCTCTGTACCTATACGCATTTATAGAAGCTGTGGCAATAACGTAGACTATAACCTCGCACAAAAAGAGTAATAACATACTCTTGTTGCAACTACCTATTCTTGCAGTGGAATCCATGCACAAGATCCGACCTGACCTAGTCCATGAAGAACCATCTCCCCTTTGACAGACGAAAGCAATGCAGAGCGAGTCGGCAATGCTCAACGTAGCGGACATTGTTTGTGAAGTCACGCCGCTTCCTCCCTCATGAACCATCCCGGACATATCCTCGTCTCCCCCATTCTCAAGAGGTTGATCTGACGGCTGACAATCATACTAATCAATCAGTGTAAGTGCAGATTATCTTGTTAGTTCTTACTAGTAGCGCACTTCTCTCATCACACTACAAGTGAGCTCGGGTCGATGACTGTAAGCCCGTGATGGGCCAAGCTTGTGCGGAGATGCAAATGCTGACTGTGGAGAAAGGCAAAGAGCGTGGTAATGCGATGAGGCCATGCAGTAAGCTGGGTCGTGATAATGCACTGCTGGATTCTATTGCAAGTCGCGTCTCAATGGCTGTTGTTCGTATACTTTTCGCCGCGATCATCTGTCAAGCGGTTCTTTCTTGCGGATGTTTCCCGTTGCGCTCTCTGTCAACGTCAACAATTAGAGTGCATTACCCAATCAAGTGGTGCGCTGTGGTATGCATGCGATGATTGTCTGAGTTTAACCGCAGTCTCCTGCAGGATTAAACGGCAAATTCAGTGTGCCCTCTTCACATACCCATCACACGCCATCGACCATGGGAAAACTGACGAAACCACGGTGCACACCACTGTTAAAGCTCCAGCATGGACCCCAACTCTATGCCTGATTTGTTTGTCGAGAACCAATGAAACCAAAGTGCACAGTTCCTTTCGCTGTTTCCTCATTATGTACAGGTAACAGTCCACATTACGCCTTACATCCATGGGTTCCCATGTGACAGATTGTACAATGTCAGCCAAATAGCACATGTCAAAGCCTGCTCTGCACCTGACAACTTGAAGGAAGAGCACGTGAGATCGCTCTACCGTTAAACCCAATATCCAAATAAGAGATGACATCGACTTGATCCCCGGACATTATTGCACAGTTAATCCAAGTTCGTCTAGAAGTCTTCGGCGGTCTGCGGCCTTTTGCTTGCATTCGATGGCCTGTCGTTCCAGTTGAACTGCCTGCTGCTCGTCTTGCTCTGCCGCTTGCTGGATTTGGCTCTTCAAACGCATAATGGTCATGCCAAGTTCTCCCGCCAGCCGACTCATCAACTCCTTGGCTTGTACAATGTCATTTCTGAGATGCGCAATATTAAGAACGATGGTCTTTGCCCTCCGCAACAATCTCTGAAGTTCACGCTCATCACGTTTTGCAAGTGCTGCTTTCGCACTCATCCTCATTTGCTGGAGTTGGTCATTGTAGATTGTGCTCCATTCCATGGATCCTTCGGCTCCAAGCGTGGTGTTGATGAATACTTCGAGCTTTGTCCTCAACGCAGCGTGCTCATGGTGTCGTTGGTGCCTGATCAATACAGCCTCGTCTGCTTCTTTCGTGATGAGTTCGATCAGCGATTTCATCTGCTCAAGGTGTCCATTATTGGGTTTGGGTTGTCTTTGTACGCGAAGTAGACTCTTGAGGCGCTCTTCATCGGTTTCTTCCGCCGGGCTTGCTCCTGCCTCACCACAAGCTTCGTATAGATCACGCCACATCTTCATTGAATATACATGCCTGCCATCAGGAAGAGATGCATTGTTTGATTGATCAGGGTCTGGCTGTGAATGACGCTCCAGGTGCATACGGAAAACCATCCGGCATGTCAGGGGATCAAATGGGAGATCTTTCGGATGCTTTCCTACAGCAAGAAGCAGGGCGAACATGATGGTAAAAATACCACAGTCTGCGTTGTTCTTCTGCTGCGGCTGATCGTGCTCAAGGAGGATTCTTGCATGATCGATCCCGGCCGCCGTCGCAATCATCTGACCCGCACAAAGCAATTTTCTCTCTAGTCTATGCTTCTTGTACAAGCTGTCGTAAACCATAATTGTCGCCTGAGGTGGAGAGATGGCGTAGAGAATCCAGTGACCTACAACATTGTCTGATGGTGATGGTACGAGGAGAGGTACCAGGATGGTCTTTGGGCTGTCTTCTGGATCGCGCAACAACGGCCGAGGACTCCAGCGCTTCAGTTGCTTCACGACTTTATCTTCCTTACCCTGCATAAGATGTGCGGGAATTGAGCCCGGATCATGGAGTGTGCATCGAGCCTGTGGTAATAATGCATGGAGTAGACCCATAACTGTGCTATGGTTCAGACATCGGCCTTGCTCAAGATGCTGAAGCATGTTCATCGTATCGCTATCGAACCTGCGATGGCTGGATAATGCGACAGAGGAATTGCCTTGCTGTTGCATTTGGAGATTCTGTGGCATGCGCTGGACGTCTAGTAGGTCGCTGCCATGGTCAACGTCAAGTTGGAACATCTGGGCATCTCGTAGAGGTTAGTCATAGAAACTGTGGTCATAAGGATAGTATAAACTACCTTTACTATTACCTGGCGTTGGCAATTTGGCTGGAGGATGTGCCTGAGACGAAGCAGGCATAAGTAACGGATTTTCAATCGGTATAGGCGTCCTGTCGGATAATACGTCGCTCAACGCGTAAGTTGATACCTCGACGACAGGCGTGTCCCAATCATGGTTAGGACATTCTGTATCGTGAGGCATCGGTGCAATTCGGCCAACCTCCACACTCACGAAGCTGGCATCTGCAGAAGGTAAATCCTCGTCGACTGATAGCTCAAAATCAGTTGCAGATTGTCTGCATTTGTGGTTCACATCCTGGGGCTCGCGTCCACCAGTGTCGAGAATATTTGGAGCTTCACTCAGCAGCGCATCATCTAATGCCCCTAGCTGAACAGCATTTGAACCATCAGTGTAGCCGTTAACTTCGTTAGTCGTGTCCTCTATGGAGGTTGCAACATGTCCAAGTTCCTCATGTGACAACAATTGGCAATGGATGTCTGCGCGCCGACGACGAGGAGACCTGCGGACAATGGCAGTTGCCTGTCGCTTGGAGGGCGACATTGCTAGGAACGAAGCGTTCCTTTTTCGTCCTCCGTGACTCAGAGGGCTCTTTGTCTCGGGCGCAAGCTCTGATGATAGCGCAAGAGCATCCCAGGCATGATTAATGACGCGCTCACTCCAGGGAAGCTCTGAGCTTTTGTACACCGACAGCTTAGCGAATGCGTGCTCCCAGGACAGATCTGGGAAAGTCTGGGATAATTTGAGGAGTGCTGACACAAAGCGCCTGTTCACAATCATCGCAGGGCCAAAGATATCCATGAACTTGTCTGGTGTGAGTCCCCAATGACTGAGACGCAAACTCTCCAAGTGCCCGGCGACCCGTCCAATGTTGGTCGATGCGGTGTCATTCTGTATGCCATTCTCTGTAAGTCGAGCCCTGATAAGTGCCTGCAATTCCTCTGGCAACTTCTTGGTTGCATGCATCGCGACAATAACAATAGGATACGTGCATGCAAATGGAAGATGATACAACAATCGCGCGGTACGCGTCTGTACTAGGGAGATAATGTAACAATGCAAAATGTCGCACGCGTTTTATCACAGGAGACGCAGAAGTTGGTTGCGAAGTGAGCGCAGGCTAGAAAAGGGTGGTGATGGTTGGTTGTTGGGTTACATACCATATGATTGAGTTAGTGGTAGCATGATAACTAGGCTGCTTGTGGAATAGCGCTAACTCTCCTAAACCAGGCGTGCGCAAAAGGTATGACTACTGGTTGAAACGCGAATTCTGAGGGTAGCAAGGTTACTATGTGGAAGTCCTTTGAAAAGTACTTTTAAACTGTGGCCACAGGTTTAGAAGCTAACTGTGGCTTTGGCTGTGGCTGTAGTGCTCTCCTGTTACGGGCCTTTAAGTGGACCTGTGGTGCGTAAAGAATATATATACACGTAAATCTACTAAACATAGATAATATTAATAGCCAAGTGCAATAGCTAATATCCTACTATAGATATAAAGATAGTTAGGTACTATGTGCATTATAGGAAACAGGTAGCTTAGGATATAAGACGTTTTTGCTGCGACGCTGTATATCTTTTAGGGCCGCTCCTGGCTAGATATTCTAGGACAAAGGTTTGCACTAAAGTTGGTATATTATTTAAGACGGCTGGATTCTAATATATAGCGAAGTTAGATATGTAACCTTATCTCTCACGCCACGCTTCTACACTAAATAATAGCAAGAAGAGAGCAAGAAAAGAGACAAGCACTACATTATTCTAAAAAACTAACTCCAACTAGCAAAAGCAAAACAGAGAGGACCGATAAATATCTGCAACTCCTGCCTACTGTCTAGGACCCACCTGTGACGCAATAGTCTCCTACTTGTAACTCGGAGTAGATGCCGCGGACTAACAATGCGTCGTCAGCCACGTTTGCCATGTGTAGTGGAATCGTAGCAGTAGACAGGAGCATTACACCAAAGAAGGTGGACAACCCTGCTCCCCAAATGCTTGTTACCGCGGTTCGGGGCCCTCAATAAGTGCAAACATGGGTACAGAGCGGGATTCGAGTAAGGAACCCCGGTGGACCCTGGTATTCGACCCCTAGAGGGATGTAACGCCAGTTTGGACTGTCAGTCTTGTGCCAACAAACAACACATTTGTATATGTTGCTTGATGGGACATTTTAGAATCTTTGCTTACTTGTACCTACCTACTGAATTTTGCATCTTCTCGAAGCCCTTGGGGAATGAATTGAGCGCCTGTTTGTGTGCGCTACGGTACACGTCGGTTGGGCGTGAATTGGGAGGGAAAGGGCGTCTTGCGATAATCACGTCATGACAGGAGTCGGGTGGGCAGTCACGGCCCAGGCAAAGAGGTTGTGGCAAGTGTGATGGATACCTTGACCACAAGGGCCGCCGCCACAGAATCATGCCAGAGACAAGACAAAGTCATAGGCAAGACAAAGTAGCAATAGGGCTACACAAAGTCTCGTCAGCAATATACCGTGGCACTCCTTGTTAGATTAATACAACATGACGACCTGTGTCTAGGAGGAGAGACATGCGAATTAGTAACACGACAAAGTCATCTTCTACGCCTGCTCTTGGTCCTATGGTTAGGCACTCTCGATAAGTCCTCTTGTAAGCGTTGGACGCCATACATAATTTGGACCCCCCACTTGTGGCTACCCCTACGCCTTCAACCTTCTTCCAGGCGAGGCAAAAAGGTTAAAGGCTTACAAGATCTTGCACATGAAAGAACAAGGCTGACCAGCAAAGAGGCACCCCTTCCTGGAGCCTGTGAGCCTCATGAGCGTGCTCTCTTCCACTAAACGTTCTATTGGACGTAAAGACATACGCTACCAGTAGTGCAACAAGATGCCAATATTAATGCTGCCATAAGAGATATTGATACTTGAATTTGCCACCGCCTGTCCTACCTGCGAGATGACGGTCTGGTGGTGTACGTGTGGAACATGGAAGGTGCATAACAACTTTGAAGCCTACTACCACTGAAGAGGTAGACTGAAGAGGTAGACTGAAGAGGTAGACTTTGCCTCCAACAGCAGCCAATTGGTATAGTAGGCAGTGCTCGTCTTTCATCTTACACACCTTGGTAAACATGGGCTTGAAACTGCGGTCCCGTATCTGCCTCTTCTATACGGTACTGTGACATGTGTAGGTAAGCAAGACTCTCGAGAAGAGAATCAAGGTACTACGAGTAGAGCATAGGGCTGTTGCAAGGCTCACAAGGCCTTGCGCGTCGAGAAGCGAGGCTGATTCGCGATAGCTCGGTACTTATTTGCCCGCCTACCGGTACTGGTACGGCTCACGTAAGCACGACCCTGACCTAAAGCTAGATCATCAACTGTCCATGATCAACATCAACTGTACTGCGCCCAAACGAACAAAAGTACGCAGCGCCTCGCTCAAGACGACTCGTACCCTGTCGCAAGCCTCTTGGCCATTTCATCACCCACGCGCTTCACCCTCTCCTCCGCCCGCCCATCTTTGCCATACCACCGCCTGCCCAAACGCACCGGTGATCGATCACCGCGCCAGACTGCGCCCCGAGTTTGCCTCGCAGGCTCGCGCGCCTGTGCTCTCCCTGCACCATTCCTCTTCCTTCTTTTCCAGCTTGTCGCTGGTTTGATAGGAGCAGAGAGCCATGGTGGTGGAGGAGAGTGCGGCGCAGAGATCAAATGTGGCAGAGGAGAAGAAGGCAGCGCAGAGACCAAAGGTGCATGAGGGGGTGAGGATACTATCTCTCGTGCGTTCTGTTGAGAAGATGAGATGGGAGAGGACAAGAGAAATTCCGAGACCTCGACTGGCAGAGGGGGCGAAGAAGGCAAGTCGGGCGATGCCTTACGGGCGCGCTCTGGCTTTGGCGAAGTTGCGTTTCGCGACTGGTCTCGACAAGGCAACTTGTTGGCATGCGCAGCGCGCTGTTTTTCTTTGGCCGCCGAAGAGAGTGTTGGCAGCATATAATGTCTGCGAAGCCCAGAGTCAGAAGAAGGGCCCATAGTAGTACCAAGTAGGCTGTGATGCTGGAGACAAAACTCATCAACTACAAACATAGATACACAGCCGTGAAGACAAGCGACACTGCGCCTAAGGTAGGTAGCTGCATAGCACACAGTGTGGTGGTACTTTCCATTCAGACTATCATGCCTTGCAAGACTGGTCGCTTGAGTGCTCTCTCCACAAAGTGTATCGCAGGTGATTTGACTTGAACAGACATGTGATACCGGTAGGTAGTACTTGGTACATGTGTACCTGTTCATCTTTTGACTTGCTCCTGACCATTTGATTACATGGCTCTGGGCAACAACAAACACGATGCGAATTCACAGATAATCTACATACCTACTACACTTGTCGAATTGCATAGATATACTCTCAGCCAACTTATTTATCATCATCACCCCATGCAACTCTTTGCGGAGTCGAGAAGCTGGTGTTAGTACTAGGAGTATGAGTGCCCAAGGTGCTCTTACCGGTATAGGTAAGGCCTGCTTCTGCCAGCCAATCGGCGGCAGCGGAAGTGACGGAACCTTTACTGTGCAGACTAGAACTACTACCAGTGACACCTCACACTGGCAGACTTGTTCTTACAACGCGGCTAAATCACGAGGAAAGCTAAGGGTGTTGCACACTTCCTTCTATATCTAGTCACTAGGTAAGAGCTAGGACACATCCTTGATGACGTGTTGCGCGCTGCTAGTAGTGCGTCGCCAGCTAACCATACGGTAGGTACCGCACCTTGATGTCTGGAATCACACTTACCGGTACCTAGGCACCAGTGCGGTACCGGTACCTACCGTACGACAACGATCACGACAACGATCACGACAACGACCATACAGTACCCAACAATACTAGAACCCACCCACAACGGCCATCCAACCATAACCAACCACAACGGCCTACCCAACGATAGCCTACCACAACAGTTATACCCATCACGACAGATACACTTCTTGCCATGCCCAGTCTCAGAAGCCCATGTCATCCCACCTATCCTTAGGTTGTGGGCGAGTGCATTACAGAGAGCAACAAATCTAGCAAAGCTAATGCGACTGCATCACATCAACCAGACGTGCGCACTGCATTTACACTGGCATTCCTAGCGATAGATACCGGTAGCCTATCCTTGGTAGATGCTGTCAGTGCTCTCAAGTGGCCTCATGCTTGCTTTCGATGCCTCGGATCCTCACCGACGCCAACGTCCATTTTCTCACCAAAGCCTTCGCCTCCACGCCAGACGTCGCTTGGCAAGCTTTTGAGAAAGACTTCATCGCAAAGACTAGCTGGCCGGTTACTGGCCTACGTCGAATCTCCCCGCCACTCGCAGATGCCTGGATTGCTGTTTTTTACTATGGCATCGATCGCTATTACAAGACACCACAGTCAACGTTGAGATACAGCGACTTTAGGGAGCAGTTTTCTGTGCCTTCAAACCATTCTTTTAGGCAATTACATGCGGACAAACTCTCTTCCGTGCAATCCGTGAGAGCGGCCCGAGGCTGGACAACGTCTTTCTTTGCCGACCTTAACAAGCGCAACGTCCGCCTTCCAGCTCTCCCAGGCAGGGAATTCATAGAGCAGCTTGCCGTCGCTGCAGCAACATTTCCGCTACCTGATTTCGCCACTCTTTTTACTGCCTGGCTTCCTCAGCATCTCAACACGATTAAAAAGGCCGCGAAGAATAGCACACGATTTCAACCTAGCACCCGCATCATCACAGCAGCGGATCTGCGAGCGTTCATTGCTTGGATAGATACAGTAGGTCAGCAATTGACTACGGCCCAAGGTGCACCATCTCACCCAATCTCGCAAAAGGCAACCGTTGAGTCAAACATTCCAGCAGGGCTACTGACAAGTAGAAGCCCGTGTGGCCAATCTCAAGCAGAACCTCCACCTTCTCCAACGCTACAATTGGCAGAGCTTCCCCAAGGACACTTCGCCCATATGTCAGACCACGATAGTTTACCATCCCCTCGCTACACCAACGCAAAGGATCCATTCACCCAATCTTCGCTGGATGAGGGCTTGATCCTGTCAATTCTACCCCAATTCGATGGAGCCTCTGAGATAAACTCCCCGCCAATGAATTTGCATGCACAATATACGCTACCACAACTTAGACCAGTCCACAGACGCGAACCAGCCACAGCTAGCTTGCAAGCATCGCTGGCGAATCGCAACTCTTCTCAAAAACATGTAGCAGATTATGATTCGAACATCACCCTCACCGAGCTCTCAGACGGAGCGATGACCGAGCTGGAAACGAGTCTGCATACACACAATCAGCCAGGACCACAACGGAAGAAGTCAAGATTGACATGGACAGACAGTGTTGCAGAACGAGACCTTCAAGAAGAGTTACATTCCTTGGAGGAGGAAATGGATGCCACACTGGAAAGGATCAAGGCAAATTACGAGGTGGCGCACACGAACCATAACCTTGCTGTCAAGGCGCTCGAAAAGCACAATGCACACCTCACTCTCCAATACAATACCTCTACACCAACCTCAATCAACGACATCATCTCAAAATACATGCAGCAAATCGCGAAAATCGGGTTGCGCATCACCAAAGACCAATCATACCTCTGTACATTGGATGATAACTCGACGGACTCTGACGGGCACGTTGGTAATGTATCTACAGGTGTCGCGAGTGCTATACAGACAAGGATTACGCGAGATGAAAAGAGAGTGCAGCATAAGATCCAGCAAAAGGTGGCAGTGCAGCACGCTTTGCTAAACCTAAACCATTGCAAAGATCGTGTTGTGCAGACGCAGACAGCGCTGATTCAAGCGAATCACGCTTGGGAGAAAGAGAAGACTGCACTTGCGCGTCACACTGGCTGGCTGCAGACCATCCAGACCAAGTATAGCATTGCCCAGCTTGAGGGGAGGGTGGGCGAGAATCGTAGAGCCTGAAACGAACGATAATGTGTAACATGTAACTAGTATCTATCCAAGTGCCATTGGCCACAAAGTGTGCGTTTCGCTACTGTCGAAGCTACATGTTATCTCATTCATCAGAACGCTCTAACGAGCTTTTACCCCTGCTAGTGCAACGCTAAAAACTCCTAGGAACTCTAAAGGGATTAGCGTTGCGCTAAAAACTCCTTAACTAATCACGCTAGCTGTAGGGCAAAGCTCGCTAGAGCGTCTAAGGAATAATAGGATAGGTTTTAGTAATACTTAGATTTAGGTTATATAAGGAGATAGCATATAACTTAACCTAGTATATCCTGTCTACTATAATACCTTATAGTTATACCTCTATAAGTAAATTAATATTTAAGATATTCTCTATTAATTATATATATTATAGCTATACCTAGGTTATTTTCTTAGATATATAGCCCTCCTCTAAATTAACTATCTAGCCTACTCTTATCTATACTATTAGCCCTTAATATACTATCTTAGGGCTATCTTAGCTCTATTAAACTAGTAATAAATATTACTATAATATATAGTACTAAAGATAAGGATATCTTTAGTAGTAATATAGGCTAGGAGTCTATACTAACCCCTATAGGTAGCTATAAAGGTTATAAATATTTAAATAAGTATACTAAATTAGTAGTAGTTATTTAAACACTTTAATAAGTTAGGTAGTTATTTAGAGAAATAGTAGAGGTATAGGCTAGTCTTAAGGATTATAGTAGCTAAGTAGATATATAACTATCCTATTAAAGATACTATAGGTAGAAAGATTGCTAGAGGGTGTTAGTAAGAGTACTAGAGACTCTTATAGAGTAGGGTATTTACTAGAGTATATCTATAGTTTATTACTATAAGACTAAACTTACTAGGCTAGTAAACTTCCTACTATTTAGTTAATTTATAGTTAATATATTATTAGATTAGCTTAATATAAAGCGTGCAACTCTTATTATCTAGTAATACGCGCCTACTTAGTTTTATTTCCTCTAGGACTTACTTATAAATATCTACTAATACTATTCCTTATATAGTAGCTTAAATAAGAATAATTATATTAGTTACTATATATTTATAATTATAAGTATAATATATTTCTCTTAGAATAGGAAGACCTTAAATACTCTACTATCCTATCTTAACGCCTATCTCCTTAGATTAGGTGTATACTAGTAAGTAATTAAGACTTTAGTAGGCCTTAGGTTATACTATAGCTATTATTATATAAATAGTCTAATAGTAGAGATTACTAAATATACTATAGTACGTGCTAATAAGTATCTCTTATTAAATATTATAGAAGAAGAGGGTAATAGTATAATATCTTATATAGTAAGAGAACTTCTTAATTCTCCTATAAACTCCTATAAACTCCTATAAACTTCTATAGACTCCTATAGACTCTTATAAACTCCTATAAACTCCTATAAACTCCTATAAACTCCTATAGACTATTATAATATATTAATACTAATATTGTTATAGAAGTAACTTAAAATATTATTATTATATACTTAGGCTATAATTACTTATAATAATATTAATTTTATAGACTAGAAATATAATAAAGAAGCTAGCTATACTATAATATTTTAATCCTTTATAAATGCAATATTATCTATCTATAAAGATCTACTAACTAGTAGTCTTAGTTAGGATATATATAACCCTAGTATACTATTAAGGGTATAGGATATTATAACTAGGTATAGGATTATAGGTAGGGATAGGGTAGGGACAAGTATCTTAAGTGTCCTTATAGCAGATGCTGTAAAGCGACTTTATCTACGCGCTGTTTAACACGTCTTTAAGGGTTTATCTAAATATCTAGAGTTCCTAGTATTAGAGTTAGTACCTGTATAGAAGACAAAGTTCTAGTGGTTTATAGGTATTACTATAGATAAGGGTATAATAGAGGGCACGTATACTATCTATAATAATATTTTCTTATATTAAATTAGACTCTATATAAGTAGTAACCTTACTAATACTAATAATTTTACTAAATAGCTATTCCTTATCTATAGTAACTATAAAGTCCTACTATTTAGGCTATATAATAGAGCTACAACCTATTAGCGCTATATAAATAATATACTAATAGATTATTTAGATAACTTCTGTATTACCTATCTAGATAATATCCTTATCTACTCTAAAGACCTTGCTACTTATAAGGACTATATTTAAAAAGTCCTTAAGCGTCTTTATTCTACTAGATTATAGGCTAATATTAAGAAAAGCGAGTTCTATATAACCTGTACCTGTTACCTTAGATATATCCTAACTAATAAAGGCTTAGAGGTAGATCCTAACAAAGTTAAAGTACTCTAAAACTAGTCCACTCCTAAGATAATAACTAGAGTAAAGTCCTTCCTAGGATTTACTAGATTCTACTAGTAATTTATAGAAAACTTCTCTAAGATAGCTAAGCCCTTAACTACTCTCTAGAGCCCTGCTACCCTATTTATATAGAGTTTAGAATATTAACAAGCCTTTAACTAGCTTAGGAATGCCCTACTAGCAATCCTAAGCTTAGCTTACTTCTATCCTAAGTATCCTCTAAAACTAGAGATAGACACCTCTAATAGAGTTATTATAGCTATCCTCTTATAGGAGTATCCTAATAGGAAATAGTACCCTATATCCTTCTTTAGTTAGACCCTTACTAGTTCTAAACTTAACTAGGAAATCTATAACAAAGAGTTATTTGCAATAATCTACGCCTTTAAGAAATAGCGTGCTAACCTAATAAGTACTTAGCACCTTATTAGAGTATACATAGACTATAGAGCACTAGAGTACTTTATATCTACTAAAGTCCTTAGTGCTAGATAAGCTAGATAGCTAGAGGTTATAAGTCTCTTTAACTTCTAAATTAAGTATACTCCTAGATCTTATAACGCCTAAGCTAATATCCTAAGTAGAAGGGAATAGGATATAATTAACCTTAAGACTACTTAAAGGTATAATTGCTTACAAGTAATAATTGCCCTAGATAGGTTACACCCCTAAATTAACTCTAACTTAGCGCAAGACTACCTAGCTAAGCATTCCTTACTAATCCTTACTTTAATTATAGTAGTTTAGAACCCTATAACTCTTAGATCCCTAGAACTTATTAAAACTCTTCTTTAAGAAAATAGGTCCTTATTCCTAATAGAAAGATTAGAGTTACCTAAGGACTATTAGATTAAAAATAGACTCCTTCTCTACTAGAATTAACTTTACGTGCCTGCTAGATTAGTCCTATATACTAGACTAATTCTTAAGGCTTATAATTAAGTGTCTACTACCTACCTATTAGCTACTAAAACCTGTTAGATTCTAGGCTAATAATACTACTAGAAAGGTATAGAGATAATATACAATTGCTATATATAGAACTATATCCTATATAGGAGAGGGCACCTAAGATAGCACTAACTCCCTAGCATGCTCTACCCCCTTCCTATCCCTAGTCTACTAATACAGCACCTATACATTAATTTTAAGGATTTTCCCTAGGATTAACTTAGTTACAATTAGATTATAGTTATTATTAATTACCTATTAAAGCAAGCTATTACTATCCCTTGCTATATAACTATAGACGCCTAAGGTATAGCTACCTTATTTATTTAGTAGGTATACTAATTTAGATATACTCTAGATACTATTATTTCTAATTAAGGCCCTTAGTTTGTATCTAGTTTCTAGTCTAAGTTCTGTTAGATTATAGGTACTAAAGTTAAGCTCTCTACTACCTACTATAAATAAACTAATAGACAAACTAAGATTATAAACAAGTATATTAATTAGAGACTAAGGCCTTTTATATCCTATTACTAAGATAACTAGAGTAACCTACTACTAATAATAGACTGTGCCTAAAGTACTCTTCCCTATTTATCTATTAGTATAGCTCTATATTAGCTCCTCTTTAGCTCCTTACTAAAGTAAAGCTAGTATTAGAAACTAGAAAAGACCCTATCTACTATACTAGAGAAACTAAACTATAAGGACGCCTTATCCCTTGCTACTTAGATGCACAACGCCTAGAAGATTACTAAAGAAAATATAGAAAGAGCTTAAGACTAAATACGCTCTACTACTAATCGCTATTATTATCTAGTTAACTAGAAGGTTAGTAACTATATCTATCTATCTACTACTAATCTTGCTATTTTATAACCTAGCTAAAAACTATCTAAATAATAGGAAGGTCCCTTTAAGGTATTAGAACAAGTAGGAAACGCGTATTGCCTCTAATTACTACCTAGTTCTAAGATCTATAATATTTTCTCTCCTAATATACTATACAAAGATCCCTAAGACCTATTACCTAGATAAGAGGCTCTAAAACCCCCTAGTACGCCTATACAAGGTGTAGAGGAATAGGAGGTAGAAGAAATCCTAGCTAGCAAATTATATTAATCTAAGCTAAAATATAAGGTTAAGTAGGTTAGACATAATCCTAATCCTATTTAGTATCCTACCTCTAACTTTATAGGTGCTCCCTATAAATTATAGGTATTCTACTAATAGTATCTAAATTAGCTAGGTCCCCTACGTAGCTTACTAAAATAGATTTAAGCCTAGGAAAAAGGTAAAGAGGATCTAATATTACTTTATAATAATTATACCTAATATTAGAACTAATTTATATCCTATTTAGCTACGTATTATCTATTAACTACTATCTATTACTATTATTCTTATTACTATTTATTATTATATCCTATTTAGAACTAACCTAGAACCCTTAAGGTTCCTAGGATACTACCCCTAGGAAACCTCTTTATTCTATATCTATCTCTCTATTAGAACCTAGTTTAGACTCTGTATTAGCTAAGATAGCGCCTAGACTATCTTTCTTAGCTAGCTTCTAGACAACTAGTGTAGCAGGTGTGGGAGCAGGTACAGGAGCAGGGGTAGGAGCTAGGACTAATTTAGACTCCTTCTTGTGGAACGCCTTTATCTTAGCCTACACTAGGAAGGTTGCC